TAATCTGAATAATCGTAATAACAATACTTATGATAATGATATAAATAATAAAGGCAACAGTGATAATGATCGCGATAAAATAGATAATAATAATGATGATAAAAATGCTTAAGTAATTCTTGTGAAAGAGAGACACATAAATGAATAGACTGAGTAATAGACAAACAGCGATAGAAAGACTGATTAAAGGGTAGATCAATATATAGTAGGAGATGTAGGCACTCAGAGAAAGAGTAAAAAAAGAGAGAGAGAGAGAGAGAGAGAGAGAGAGAGAGAGAGAGAGAGAGAGAGAGAGAGAGAGAGAGAGAGAGAGAGGAGAGAGAGAGAGAGAGAGAGAGAGAAAATAAGATAGATAGATAGATAGACAGATAGAGAGAGAGAGTGACAGACAAACATTCAGACAGAAAGAAAGACAAAGAAGCACTCTGACTAACAGAAAACAGACAAAAAAAAAAAAAAAACAGAATAAGAAACACAGAAACGGAGAGAGACGAGACAGAAGATCGGAATTAGTAAGAAAAGCATTAGCCCGAGAAACCCGTCTGGTCCCGAAGGAGGCGCCGAAGAAAGTGTCCATCGTGTCTAAACAATTTCCTTCCTTACGGGGCCAGGGTTCCTTCACGGCCCAGCGGCGCCTTTGACGAGGTCCTGACGCGCGTCCTTCCCCGCGCGGAGTCCTCGTCGCTCGACCACTCTCGCCAGGACTCACCTCTTTGTCATTATTACCTTTTATGCCTTTTGGTCAGTTCTCCTTTTAGGTGCATATGTATCTGGATATTGAATATATATATATATATATATATATATAATATATATATATATATATTAATATATATATATATATATATATATATATATATGTATATATATATATATATATATATATATATATATAATATATATATATATATATATATATATATAATATATATAAATAAATAAATAATAAATATATATATATATATATATATATATATATATATATATATATATATATATATATATATATATATTCACCATTCTTAATATGATAGCCTATATATACATATATATATATATATATATATATATATATATATATATATATATATATATATATATATATATATATATATATATATATATATATATATATATACATATATATATATATATATATATATATATATATATATATAGATAGATATAGATATATAGATAGATAAATAATATAATATACATATATGTATATATATATATATATATATATATATATATATATATATATATATATATATATATATATATATATATATGTATGTATATATATAACATACATATATATATATATATATATATATATATATATATATATGATAATTTATATATAATAACTATATATATATATAATATATAATATATATATATATATAGTATATATAGTATATATATATATATATGTGTGTGTGTGTGTAATGTGTGTGTGTGTGTGTGTGTGTGTATGTATGTGTAATGTATATATATATATATAATATATATATATATAATATATATATATTATATATATATATATATATATATATATATATATTATATACACACCACACATACACATCTATATATATATCTATATATATAATATATATATATATATATAATATATATATATACATATATATATATAATATATTATACACATATATGTAATATATATATAATATAGCACACAACACACACACACACACATATATGTGCGTGTGTGCGTGTATAAACATATAATCTTTTCACTCATCCTTATTGTTCATATCCCCTTCTCTCTCACTATCGCTCCCTCGGATATATAATATAGGCTTACTTGCTCTGAATTTCCACCTCCTTACTAACTGTCTATCTGTCTCTCTACCTATTTATTCATGCATACTTTTGTCTACCGAATTGTTTATCTCCTTTTCGTTCTGTCTATCTATCCATTAAAAGGTTTGCTTTTCTATCTATACTTTCTCAGCTCTTTGTCTCAATCTATCTCTATTTTGAAAACGGCTACATAGTCTTTTCTAGATATTTCTTTGCTTTATTCCTCACTATCATCATACAATACTCCTTATCTTCTTCCTTGCAATCTCTGTGGATAGCGAAGTAAAATGGCAATCGCAAACATTTTTGTTTCCAAACCGGAATTAAAACAACAAAAAATATTCCTTTTCGTGTCTCTTCCCTTGAATGTTGCCATGAACACGCACTCCCACATTAAAGTATCCGCGAAGGACATGAGATAAATGCCTTCCTAATTGCTTCCATGCATCACCCTTAATACGCACAGTCCTCCCACCACCTTTCTGAAAATGCCCATGAATAATACAGCCTTAACGGACCTAGTTTAAGGATCTATAACAGCGAAAATAACACGGGTCTGAACTCCGGGCTGAACCATCAGAGGCATGTTCTGAGACAGACACTCGCTCCATTAGTTTTGACGTATGGTTTATGGCTGAGATTTTTCATGCTTTTTTGCCCGTTCTCTGGGTTCTGAAAAGCTCTTTAAGATTTCCAGATGAATCAACAGCGGTGTTCCTGAGGTAGACATCGGATAGACAGACAGGGATTTGCTCCGACATACGCTGGTGTTGCAGTTGGAACTGTCAGATGTCTAAAC